ATTTCTGTGGAGGCTCCAAATTTCAAATGCCTCATTAGAAACAAAAACTATCATGGCTTTTGGTAAAATATTGATAAATCATAAGTTATTAATTTTGGATTATTCAACTTTAGTTATTAGTTTTGGTTTCATAAGTATGATTTCAGGAATTGTCATTTTATTCAAGTACCAATGCAACTTAATTTTTAGGAAAATATTATTTTTACATTGTCTGAAATAAAAGGGAGAAAACTTGGACTTTATTTCTTGATACATTTCTTCTTTGTCAGAAAACTTCCTTTTTAAGATTAGAATTGTAATACTATATTCTGATATAACAAGAAATAACTAGAAAAATAAGGTATCATTTGAGGCATCTTTTAGACTCAGGGTCATTCAAGAATACAAATAGATGAAAATGATAAATATTTATTTTGATAGCCACTATCAATATTTCTGTTCTGTTTATTTTAAAGGGAAAACTGAAATAGTCAATGAACAACAGAATATGGATTGGGGTTCCACTGCTGTTAAGCTAATGTGAACAGAATAAATTTTAACAGGAGAGTATTGCAACAAGTAATACAACTGATAGGAGAACATTATTATTGACACTTTGACTAAGGTGTCTGACTATTAAGTACATTAGATAACTTGGATTCCATGGACAAACCTATTGAGTTGTGATTACTCTCCTTTGCTTTCCTTTCCTCTTTCTTTTCTTTTTGAGATGGGGGAATGTCTTGCTATATCCCCCAGGCTAGGCTCTAACTCCTGCCTCAAGTAATCCTCCCACCTCAGCCTCCTGAGTAGCTGGTATTACAGACACGAGCCACTGTGTCCAGCTGATTTCTTTTTCTTAAATATAAAAGGTAGTAGAAGAAAGCTAATAAACTGAAATTAAAAATGTCATAAGTACCCTTTCTTTTTCTTGTTTAGTATTCATTACCCCTTCTTGTTTTTTTCTTCTGGGGCTTTGTAGTAGTTTTGTGAAAGATTGTGTTGAAGGTTTTGCAAGAATGAGTGCTCTGACACATAAATCTTATGGATTTTACAGTTAGATAGTTTAGATAGGTACAAAGGATATAATTTTAGCAATGGATACTATATTAGTTTCCTTGGGCTGCTGCAACAAATAACCACAAACTTTGTGGCTTGAAATAACAGAAATTTATTCTCTCACAGTTCTAGAGGCCAGAAGTCTAAAATCAAGGTGTTGGCTGGGCCACACCTTCACAGTCCCTCTGAAGACTATAAGGGAAAATCCTTTCTTGCCTCTTCCAGCTTCTGGTGGCTCTTAGCATTCCTTGGCTTGTGGCAGCATAACTCCATTTCCTCCCTGTCTTCATTTCCTTCTTCCCTGTTTATCTTCTCTTTTTCTGTCTCTTATAAGGGACAACTGTCATTGGATTTATGGCCTACCTTCACCTGATCCCATATCAAGATCTTTACCTTATTTATATCTGCAAAGGTCTTTATTCCAAATAAAGTCACATTCTGGGGTTCTGAGTGTAGATATCTTTTGGAGTACTAGTCAAACCACTACAGATAGCAAGAGATGTTGAGCATGGCTTCTTAGTCTCCTTTCTCCATGGGGGAAATGTGCTTGCATATCTGGCAATGTTATTCTATCTTTCTGGGGGAGGGAGAGAAATATTCTAGATCCTCAGAAATCCTAAATAACAGTACAAAATGCCTTATGCCCCTAGATATGTCATTCTGAAAATTAAGCATAATTACCTTATATGATTGCAAAAATTGCCTCAAGTAAGCCATGTTTCCTGGAGCTAACATCTGGAGTCTAGGTATAATTTCTTAATGTATCAACAGTGGTCAATATGTTGGCTATGGATTATATAAAAATTACTGAGTATCATACATATGCAGTTGCCATTGTAACTACATGATGCTATAATGGCCAATCTGTAGCCATGTGCAATCAGTTTAAGCTCCAGGAGAATGTGAGTACATGCCATGGCTTCCACAAGAACCAACCTCCCCTTTTCGGTGCACGTAATTTAGGTGGAGCTTATTTCATCTCATGGCTTCAGGAATGAACAAATGACTCATGTCTGGCCAATGTGAGAATCATCACAACTATTGACTAAAGGAAAGACACATAATCCAAACTGGGCTGTAGGGAGTGATATCTAGGATTTTTGCTGGGCCTTTCTGTAGAGAGTCACTGTACTGGTAATATGTAGCCTAAAATCTACTCTGGACATTTTGCCATCACATGGGAAAAGTCTGCTTGAGAAGGAGGTCATCAGGGGAAAAGAAATCGTAAATGTGGAGATATTTTCATTATAACATTATTGAAGTGCATGGAACTACCTCTGTCAGAAACCAGTAAGTAATTATCCATTTCCATGTATAAGCCAATAAATGATGCTCTGCTTTTTGGCTTAAGTCACTTAACTTGGGGTTCATTATTAGAGTATGATTGATATAAACGTATACTTCCATAGATGGTGTGAATGAGTATCTTAAGATACTGGACTCAAAAGTTGTTATTGGCGTCTAGCACTAGAAAAATCCAGCTTTTCTTTAACAAGAATTTTGCTTTTCTTTAATAGGCACTATAAATTTTGCAATTAATTTTGGTTTTCTCTTTGCTCTACAAAGCAAAAAACAAAATTTGTGATATAGAGTAACTAAAAATGACCTTTTTGTATGCATTTTGTTATGCTGTCCCATCCTTTGATTCATTTTATTTTGTTCCCATGTTATCTTTACTCAATTTTCATATTTTTGCATGTAAAGGGACCAAGAGTTAATAAAAGAAGATATTCTCAAGTAATTAACACTAAAAAAGAGATAATTGTATTGTTCCTGCATAAAAAATCGAATGTAATAGAAAAGGAAATATTCCTAAATTAATAATACATTATCCAAATGAAACATGAATAAATTATTAATTTTTAAACCTCTGTAAACAATTCAAAAATCAAAATTAAATCACAAAACATATTTTCAGTTGGACTGAAAAACCCTTTGATTCCTGTGTGCTTCATTTGAAGAAATTATGAAAAATTGTAATATATCCAAAAGAATTGAAAGCAGGGTCTCAAGGAAATATTTAGGCATCCATATTTATGGCAGCCTTATTCACAATAGTCAAGAGGTGGAGGCAACCCAAATATCCATGGACAGTTGAATGGATAAACAAAATGTAGTATATACATACAATGTGCTATTATTCAACCTTAAAAGGGAAGGAAATCCTGTCACATGCTACGATGTAGATGAACCTTGAGGACATTATGCTAAGTGAAATAAGTCAGTCACAAAAAGACAAATACTGTATGATTCCACTTATATAAAATATCTACAGTAGTCAAATTCATAGAAACAGAAAATAGAATGGTGGTTACCAGGGGCTGTTGTGAGGGTGAAAAGGGGAGTTGCTGTCTAATGGGTATAGAGTTTTAGTTTTATAAGATGGAAAATTTATAACAATGTGGATATATTAATATTTAACATTACTGAAATGTACACTTAAACATGGCTAATATGATAATTTTTATGTCATGTATTTTTACCACAATAAAAAGGGTAAAAATGATAATATACTTTAGGGTTTAAAATAGGTATTTTTCCAAGATGAAAGAGTAAACTTAGACCAGACAACAGTCTAGCTTTAAATCTACCAGATAGGCCGGGCGCGGTGGCTCACGCCTGTAATCCTAGCTCTCTGGGAGGCCGAGGCGGGCGGATTGTTTGAGCTCAGGAGTTCGAGACCAGCCTGAGCAAGAGTGAGACCCCGTCTCTACTAAAAATAGAAAGAAATTAATTGGACAACTAAAAATATATAGAGCAATTAGCCGGGCATGGTGGCGCATGCCTGTAGTCCCAGCCACTTGGGAGGCTGAGGCAGAAGGATCGCTTGAGCCCAGGAGTTTGAGGTTGCTGTGAGCTAGGCTGACGCCACGGCACTCACTCTAGCCTGGGCAAAAGAGTGAGACTCTGTCTCAAAAAAAAAAAAAAAAAAAAAAAAAAAATCTACCAGATAAACACTAGACCCTACGTTTTAGCCACATGATGTCGCTGTCTACCATAGAGTGTTCTCTAGGAAGAAAAATACCCAGAGCCCCTTTGTTACTTCAGAGAAGCGGAGCAATAAGAGAAGCAGCAGGACATTAGCAGAGACGAGTGTTTAAATTTTTGCAAAACGTGCACTTCTAATTTGATCAACTCACTGAGGATTGGTAATGGTGTCTTCTATGAGAAGGGGCCTACAGGCCTGGATTCGGCGGCTCTTGCTTCTGCTCATCACATTCTGGGAGGCGGGGAGTGGCCAGCTCCACTACTCGATCCTAGAAGAGGCCAAGCACGGTACCTTCGTGGGCCGAATCGCGCAGGACCTGGGGCTGGAGGTGGCGGAGCTGGTGCCGCGCCTGTTCCGGGTGGCGGCCAAAGGCCGCGGGGACCTGCTGGAGGTGAATCTGCAGAATGGCATTTTGTTTGTGAATTCTCGGATCGACCGGGAGGAGCTCTGCGGGCGGAGTGCGGAGTGCAGCATCCACCTGGAGGTGATCGTGGACAGGCCGCTGCAGGTTTTCCACGTGGAGGTGGAGGTGAAGGACATTAATGACAACCCGCCAGTATTTCCAGCCACCGCAAAGACTATCCGGTTTCACGAATCGAGGCTGCTTGACTCTCGGTTTCCTCTAGAGGGAGCATCTGATGCAGATATTGGAGTAAACGCTCTTCTCTCCTACAAGCTCAGCTCCAGTGAGTTTTTCTTCCTAGATATACAGACAAATGATGAACTAAGCCAGTCTTTGTCTCTTGTCCTGGGGAAATCTCTGGACAGAGAGGAAACTGCCGAGGTTAATTTGTTACTGGTGGCTACTGATGGGGGCAAACCTGAGCTCACAGGTACCGTTCAAATACTTATTAAGGTATTAGACGTGAATGACAACGAACCTACTTTTGCCCAATCAGTTTACAAAGTAAAATTGTTAGAGAATACTGCAAATGGGACCTTAGTAGTTAAATTAAATGCTTCGGATGCAGATGAAGGATCAAACAGCGAGCTTGTGTATTCGCTCAGTAGTGATGTATCTTCCACTATACAGACCAAGTTCAAAATAGATCCCAGCTCAGGGGAAATCAGAACTAAGGGAAAATTAGATTATGAAGAAGCGAAATCCTACGAAATTCAGGTCACTGCAACTGACAAAGGAACCCCCTCAATGTCAGGACATTGTAAAATTTCATTAAAACTCGTGGACGTGAATGATAACACACCAGAAGTCTCAATAACGTCTCTCTCACTTCCCATCCCAGAGAACGCTTCACTGGGCACCGTCATCGCTCTCATCACAGTGTCCGACCGCGACTCTGGAACCAACGGGCAGGTGACCTGCTCCCTAACGGCCCACGTGCCCTTCAAGTTGGTGTCCACCTTCAAGAATTACTATTCTTTGGTGTTGGACAGCGTCCTGGACCGTGAGAGTGAGTCGGTGTATAAGGTGGTGGTGACAGCTCGGGACGGGGGCTCGCCTTCGCTGTGGGCCACAGCCAGCGTGTCCGTGGAGGTGGCCGACGTGAACGACAACGCGCCGGCGTTCCCACAGCCCGAGTACACGGTGTTCGTGAAGGAGAACAACCCGCCAGGCTGCCACATCTTCACGGTGTCGGCGCGGGACGCGGACGCGCAGGAGAACGCGCGGGTGTCCTACTCGCTGGTGGAGCGGCGGGTGGGCGAGCGCGCGCTGTCGAGCTACGTGTCGGTGCACGCGGAGAGCGGCAAGGTGTACGCGCTGCAGCCGCTGGACCACGAGGAGCTGGAGCTGCTGCAGTTCCAGGTGAGCGCGCGGGACGCGGGCGTGCCGCCTCTGGGCAGCAACGTGACGCTGCAGGTGTTCGTGCTGGATGAGAACGACAACGCCCCATCGCTGCAGGCGCCTTGGGCAAGTGGTACCGGCGGCGCGGTGAATGACCTGGTACCTCGATCTGTGGGTGCAGGCCACGTGGTGGCAAAGGTGCGCGCGGTGGACGCCGACTCTGGCTACAATGCGTGGTTGTCATATGAGCTGCAGCCTGCAGCGGGCAGCCCGCACAGCCCATTCCGCGTGGGGCTGTACACCGGCGAGATCAGCACGACACGTTCCCTGGATGAGGCAGACGCTTCGCTCCAGCGCCTGCTTGTGCTGGTGAAGGACCACGGTGAGCCCGCACTGACCTCCACGGCCACCGTGCTGGTGTCACTGGTGGAGAGTGGCCAGGCGCCGAAGGCCTCTTCGCGGGCGTTGGTGGGCGCTGTGGGCCCGGAAGGGGCGCTGGTGGATGTGAACGTGTATCTCATCATCGCCATCTGCGCTGTGTCCAGCCTGTTGGTGCTCACGCTGCTTCTGTACACAGCGCTGCGATGCTTTGTGTCGCCCATCGAGGGCGCGTGTGGGCCTGGGAAGCCCATGCTGGTGTGCTCCAGCGCGGTGGGGAGCTACTCGCAACAGAGGAGGCAGAGGGTGTGCTCTGGAGAGGGTCCGCCCAAGACCGACCTCATGGCCTTCAGCCCCAGCCTTTCTCAAGGTCCAGACTCCGCAGAAGAAAGACAACAGCCCTCAGAATCAGAGGGCTTAAGAAAGGTGAGCGTTTTACTTTTTCTTGCCAATTCTAGAATTGTTCTATTTCCTTATTCTTTATGATTTATATTAATTATTTAGATTCATAGCTCTGGCTTTATTTTGTATCATTATCCTACCATGTAATATTGGGTATTAATTAGAGATCAATGTCTGCATTTCGAACAATTTATTTGAATTTTTCTTATTTTTACGTTTTGGCTTTTCCATAATTAACTCTCTCCATAGGACCTTGAAAGATTGAAAAACATTTTAGGAAAATTTGAAAATTTAGCATTAAATATTTTCTCTCTTAAAATTTTAAAAATCACAGTTGGAAAAAATCTTAAGAATTTGACTATATAATACATATCTTCAATTTACACCATCTATCCATTCTGCCAGAATATGTTTGGAATAACAGTATATTTTATATTCTGGACGTTTCCTAGATTGCTGTTTGGATCAAGAATGCATTTCTTTTTGTCAATTTAAATGTCTGTTAATAAGTTACTTTTCCTTTACTTTATATTTGAAAGCAGCCTGAACGTATCTTTTAATGCTATAACCTTCGAAAGTATTTATTACAGGTCATTACAACAGATGACAGATAACACTTAGGAATAATTGCTAATCTTAGGTATGTTTTATGTAAGTAAAATAACTTGTTATTTGCTACAAGGATTTCACACTGGCAAAATCTTTGAGTTTTCATGCAAAATACAAAATTTATTGAGAAAAGAGTCTATCTCAATTTTAACTCAGAAATCTTAACATTTTAAAATCACATTGGAGTTGGTCAGGTGGTGGGACTTTTTCTTCATTCAAGGGGAGAATGCTCTAACCCAGTCCTTATGTTAATGGTTGATCAATCATCTTTCCAGTATCAGAATTATTAGGCTAATGTATGCAAGTCTCCCACTGTGCAGAGATTGGCCATCTTTCTCTGGCACCTAACTCTATGACTGGGATTACATTTTCCATCACTGTGAGCTCACTCAGTTTCACCTGAGGAATATGGCAGCATCCATATTCCTCATGAAGTTGGGAGTTTTTCCAAAAGATGAGTCTTGGATGACTATATTTTCATTTGAAATTTCTGTGTTAGGTAATTAAAACACTGAACTTGACAAATAAATGCTACACTTGGAAAGTTTTGTCTTTTAGTTTTTTCAACCAAAGGAAGATGTGTTAGGGTGAAACAATTGCCTAAAACTGTCTTCTGCTATTTGGTTCTTAGTTATTTGCTGTTTTCTCCAATATATGTGATGAATCATAGAAATAACTTCCATTAAGTGATCTTAGACTCATCCATTTGTATTAGGCCAGAATATCCAATTCCATCTGGAGCTTTACTTTTAGAGGAGTTGAAAAGTTTGGTGGGGAAATCTGGAATTCCATTTAAGGATAGTTTATTCCTATGGGAAATTTACTGGTTTCTCAGAGTTGACACTCTTCAAAATGTAGAGAATATATGTTTCTTGGAAATCAGAAAAGTTCATCTGAGGCTTTACACAGAAAAACAAATTTTGGCTTTAAATAAATGAGAAAGAAGCCCTTTCACGGGAGGGGTCATCCTACCTATAGTATCATAGCTACTCACTAACTTCTTGAGACTTGTATGCAGAACATATGAATGGTTAGGTGGAATATGTCCTACTGGAAGTCTGGCCACTATGTTTCTACCATAGGTAAATGGTAAACTTTTAAAATGATATCCAGATGTGCCCTGATTACTAGGAGTCACAATCCATTGCTCTCTAAGTTCTTATTGTTTTCTTATTCTTATTTATATTTTTCTTGGTTTAGTTGTCTAAGGAGATATCCAGGTGAAAATAGAAACTATTCATTAATACCTTATCCACACATTGGCTCAATATTCTAAACTCATAGTTCCTTTAGTATTACCTTTATCTCCTGATAATCAATATGGAGTCACTCTGTTATTAATTTCACGTGGCATTCCATTTTGCAATTAGTATAATTCTTAAATGTAATGAAATTTGTAGTATCACAATAAGTTGTCCAAGGCATCTCATTAATGAAGTCCATGATGTTTTAAAATTTTAATTTTGTCTCATTTTCAAACTAGCTACCACCTTTCAGGATTCATCAAAGTGCTGTTTGGCATATTAATATCTATAATTATTTCCTAGATTCATGACTTGCAGAAATAATTCTTAAATGTTTACTTACTTCTTCATGAACTACCACAATAGAATCAGTTAGATATTATGTAAGTTTGACATTAAAAATACCATTAATGTAACTTACCTAATCTTGCTTGAAAAAGTTAACTTAAAATGTCCATTTATTCACTAAAACACTAATTGATAACTTAGTCTATTCTGAATATGGGTGATAAAACATGAGTAAGTTGCAATCTTGGCTTCTATTCAGTGAGTACACCAGAAACAAAAACTGATATGAAACTTTTTTCCTAATACCTAACTCACATGCTTGATTTAATTTAAAAATGATCTGGCTATAGGCAAAAATTTGGACATTCTTTTACCTCCCTAAATTCGACTGCATCTCATGAATTTTCTCTGCCCAATGTCCAAATGCTCAGAGAACTCATGTCTCTCATTGAATTCACGGAGATCTTTAGAATATTTTATTGCCAAGTCCTACATATGTTGAGTACTGACTTATGTTACAAAGTAACTTTTCTCTCTTAACTGATGGGTTAGATCACAGTTCTTTCAAGTAACAACTTTTAAAGAAACAGGAATGTAGAAATTTAGAGTGGAGATTAAAAATAATTATTTTATGTTGTGAACATTTTAGAATATACAGATAAATTGAAATGCATAAGTGGTGTGAAAATTTTAAAAAACTAATATATTCTTACTTGATGTGATATGAATGTAACAAATATACAAATCACATAGTGTTGTCCTGCAACAGGAAACAAATTTACAAAAGAACTTCACCGTAAAAGACTTCTGACATCTTTATATAAATAACAGTTAAGACAGTTGACAAAGATATAGTTCTTGAATAAAAGACACAAGAGTGATTTACGGACATTCTACAAATTAATAAACATAAGTGAACATATTTTTCAAATTGACAATTGCCATAACAATATAAAAGTAAATATATTTATATATTTGTTGCATACATTTTACAAAGACTTCAATGTCTTGATGTTTTGATGGTCATAAATCTCAAAGACTCTAACTTTTCCATAAAATGCAGCCTGGGGTGACAAATGGTTAACGGTACACACAGCATCTTGAATCTGATTGAGATCCCATCCAAACACCACCTGTTAATATCGTTTTTACATTACTTGCTTACCCTCTATGTGTTTGTAAAAGGTGAACTGTAGTAACACCTATCTCAGAGGGCTGTTGTGAAAATTTAATGAGATAATTCCATTACGACAGATAGAAAAATGACTGTCACATGGGAAGCATTTCCAGTAGATGTCCATTGTTAGAACAGTAATCAGAATTAGTATTTTACTGTATGTCATGAATTGGCACAATTGAAATTGATGAATTAGTATAGAAGTTCTAAGGAGATCATTTTGATGAAATATAAAAACTTTGGAAGAAAATTACAACTGAAAATAGAAATTTTGGAAAAGTTCAAACGACATATAAGGAAAAGATACGTTTACATATTTAATACTTACACATTTAGCCACATGATGTCGCTGTCCACCGTGAGGTCACTCTCCACAAAAGAAATACAGCGTGCATTAGGTATTCAGATGTTGCTTTTCTTTATCGTCTCTGAAAGATGGTAACGGCGAGGAGTTTAAGAAATGAAGAATAAGGAACTAAAATTGTTTTTTTAATTTTGGATCTATGTAAGAGCGACTCAATATTTGGAAAAGGCTTGCAATGTTGTTTTCCTGGCGAGAAGATCCTGGAGCCCAGCGTCTGCTGCTCTCGCTCCTTCTCCTCGCAGCCTGGGAGGCAGGGAGCGGCCAGCTCCACTACTCGGTCCCCGAGGAGGCCAAACACGGCACCTTCGTGGGCCGAATCGCACAGGACCTGGGGCTGGAGCTGGCCGAGCTGGTGCCGCGCCTGTTCCGGGTGGCGTCCAAAGACCGCGGGGACCTTCTGGAGGTAAATCTGCAGAATGGCATTTTGTTTGTGAATTCTCGGATCGACCGGGAGGAGCTGTGCGGGCGGAGCGCGGATT